ATTAGTCATTACAAATATATGTGATGACTGCTTACATATTTTCTATTGGTAAAAATGTCCATGGACAAATGACCTTCAAATAAACTGACTTCAATTGATGTAAAAAGTTTTTACTATATATTTTGATGATTAATAATAATCCGAATAAATCTGCTGAAGAAGCTGTGGCTTACACAGCGAAACGTTCAGAAAAATCTTGTTTTGATTTTCTTAACACGCTGGGATTAATTTAATTAATTTATAATGAATCAATCTGACTCGGCGCTCAATTTTTTCCAGGAAGTTCGTAACACCTACGGCCTTGAAACCTATAATTAATTATTCATTTTCAAAATATGCAGACCATAAATGTTGCAGAATTATCTGTAATAATTTGAGTATTGAATCAGATTGGGTCATTTTAAAAAATTCACCCCAGAAAAATCTTCATTTCGTTTTCTTAATACACTGGGATTATTCGAAGTAATTTTATAACTATCCACTTTCTAGCTGCTTATGAAAACGTTGGTAGATAGAACGGCGCAAAATGATTGATCTAATTGGTAACTCAAATTTCCACAATGGCAGTTGTTAATTCCTTTGCTAACTATCCTCAGTTACTGGTATTTTTGCGTTAGACTTAACACTGCTTATTGCTAACGACTTCTTCAATTTAATATTTGTTTACCATTTCGATACTTCAGAATCCTAATTACTCGTTTCCGTTGAAATTTATTTCATATAATAAATGAACATTCTCTTCGGTCGTTGGTAACCTTCCTATGGCTGAACTGCACCTGCTGTACACGTACATCTTATCTTATTGAGTATATCCTCATGTTGTTTACTTCTAAACTTTGATCTCTCCGAAATAGTAATGCTGCACAGGGATAGTGCTTTTGACAATGTTTAGCCGAAACCACTCACAATCTGAGAACAGTTTTTAGACAAATATTTTATGCTGGATTCTACCTAAAAATAAACTCTCTGACGTATTCAGCTGAAACCTCAGTTGCAAATTATGGTTGAGATATATATATTAGAAGAAATCTGTAAACGTTTGGAAATGCGGTTTGTTTAATTGACTTATTTGTCATACCTGAATCCTGGTGTATTATACCGCGTCAAGAGCATCCTGATAATCCTGAACCATTAGAGTTGGCCGTTCCAACAAGCGCACACTGTATTGGCTATTAGTACATATACATATATATATATATACGCCGTGATTATCACACACTGTTAGACAATCTCCTAACAACAAAACAACCGTAATGTCAATGATAACCAATAAGCATTTGTGTAGCAATGAGCATATCAATATAAGTATGTAGATTTAAACACAAAGAAATAATTAATTTTAATACTTCTAATATTCATTATAATGAACGTGATCATACTTCTCATCTGTCTACATTGTGTGAACTCTGAGATTATCAAAATTCGTCTGCATCCAGTGTCTGGAATAAAGTCTGTGCTAAATCCGTTTCGAAAACAGCTCCGGGCATTACAACGAAGGTGGACAAATTTATGGAATAGTGGAGATACACCAACATCAGAACAGCTGCACAATTACTACGATGTAGGTTGACTTTAATTAATGTCAGCTTATTCGGAGTGTCACTGACATCTGTAATACTAAGTGAATAGGATATATCTGTATACTGAAATAACTGGTTAAATCTGTCGCTGAACATTTATGCAGTGCTATTCATTACTAATAGTCTAGAAGTATTATCTGGTCATATTTAGTAGTGTACATTAATTTCATGAAGATAATAGTGTGAATCGAATGTTTTCGAATATTTCATATGCAGGCTACAGTAGGAGAAGTTAGAATACTTTAGAATCAAACAGGGAAATCATAATATTTCCTACTTCTGACTAAATTACAGGCATTATTCCTAATAATTCTGAGCACTCTACGGACTATATATAATCACTATCCGTCGTGTTGATAATCCCGTGGTTTCAGTTGCAGTTAATTATACAATACCGTGCGTCATCTAAAAATTGAAATTCGACACTATTTCGCTTTCTGAATCCAGAATACCAATGAAGAAACTAGTTATTCGATTTGATCTTATAAATCTCAAACTGAAATAACAATGACTAACAGATATTTCTAAACTTATTGACATGATCAGATCACAATGCCCACTGTCAGTTTCTGAATGCTGCTGTATGGTAAGAGATGTGATGTGATCGCTGACCCATAACACACACATCACTCATTACATGGTGAGTGACTGTATTCGGGATATGAGAACACAACACCACATTCATTAATAATTTTCTTAATGAACTAGCAGATAAGCGGAAATGCGGGAAAATATTTGTCAAATGTAAATGTCATGCGTGTAATGGAATTTTATTTGTTTATGTCAAAATCTTTCATGACAAATTCAAAGCCAAATTGGGGCACAACGTAATATCACTGATAACCTCGTAATGGATGATTCTTTTAGTATGTACATGGACGATAAATATTTTATTATTATTTGTTGGATTCTGAGTGGAACATGGGGATTCGGTAGCATATATGTTCTCTGCAGTCTTATTCAGTTGGCTACATGACTGTCAACAAGCTTGAATCCCGCTGTCACAATTTCAAGGTAGATTATTGCCCACTCTGCGAGAGCCTTCATTGCTGTTGGTGACATCGTGAAAGCCGCTCGTCTAGGTAGGTGGAGTAGATTACTGACTCTTTGATAGACAATCTGGAGAGTCACAGATTCCTGCAACTTCTCCACTATATCTTCTCATGAACACATCAAAAATCAGATAGAAGATATTTCAGTCTTAAGAAAAGATGGACGCATCCACCTGAGCACAAGAAGGACGAGGGAGTAGTTGTAGGTTCAGACCTTTATGTAGTGTAAACAATCCTAAAGATGAACTGGGAAGTCTTCGAAGGGCAAGAAGTAGACCACAATTCTGGTTCAACATATAGAAAGTGAAGGAGAGAAATGAGAAAGTCGCCTTGAATGCTTTATACTCATTTTAGTCAAGCAGATAAGGCAAAATAAAGGGTGGTTCACATCGATAACTGGAATCTGTAAAGGAAACAGGGACACTGTGGTACAAGGTGAGCCAGGGAGAAGATGAAAAACGAAAGCATCGGCTAAATATAACCCACACAGCAATGAACGAAAGAGTGAAGAAGAGTGCTAGGAAAGACGATGTTTCTTTTACTGCATACTAGCTGCTTAATCAGAAGACCGGCGATCCAAAAGAGACCTCACATTATCCAAATAATCAGGTCGCAATCCTGGAGGAGGCAAATGCAATGAAGCTGTTGAAAAGAAGTAGTGAAACAACCGAAACATTGAGCAGACAATTTCAAAGGACACTAATCCAGAAATTCAACTAGCAGACACACAACGTTTTGCAAATACAAATGTTCGACGAAATCAGAAATAATAAATGCCATACAATTACTGTAGGACGGGGAAGTAGAGGGACCAGATTGAATTCCCTTCACTGAAGAAGAATTAGGGATGGAGTTAGAGATTCAAGCGATTATCTATATTACGCTACTGAAAAATGTGTGGAAGGAAAGACAGGTACCTGCCAGTTGGAAGTAAAGGCAACTTAATTGTATGCTAGAATCACACTCTTGTTCATCCTAAGCAACATTTTGTTGACCACTTAAGCAGTGAGAGTTGTTGTGCTGCAATCAGTTTAGGATGAAATCTTTGCAGAAGAGACAGTCAAAACAGACGATATAGCTGAGGATCTCAAAGCAGGAACGGTGTTCACTTTCTTGGAGACAGTGTGCCGTTCGTAAGCACTACGCACGAGGAGTGAGATTCGAATTTCTACAATAATGTTCATTCAGTCTTTCTATATGATTCAGAGGTATAGTGTGTCACAAAAGGCATCTTAGACAGGGCGTTTGAAAATTTCGTCGACAGCTGTCCTCTCGGTTATAAAGCACAAACAACAAGGAACTCTGTCAACGAAACAACCAATAACCTAATGCCGAAAACGTGTACAGAAATGGATGGACACTGATTTTGTATGCATCGTGAATACCATGAAGTTCTTTTTATTCCTTCACGCTCCCAGTGGAACATAGGGCTTCAAGCCAGAGACTTGAAGTTTCTGTAGCCGTGTTCTTTATTTTCATGGGATGGGGTTGCTAGCCTCATGTCCAACCTTCCCAGCCTTAACAATCCTACTACTGGTTTTGCGAGGTAAATGAGCGCGTCGGTCGGGGATCGAACCCCGAACCGTTTGCGTCGCCGGCTAAAATCCCACGTTTGTGCCACCGACTCACACGAGGTGTGATCCCTCAATTGGAATGTGAATGGCAACCGAAAAGTCGGGCTTCCAGAAGTGACAAGGAGGAAGTCATGTGGAGGGAAGTGACGGCATGAAAGCAGTTTTGCTATCAGCTGAAACTGAAGAAAGAGGACCGAATAAAAAGGAGATATGTCTCCAGATCTCTTAGTTCCAATCGAAATGCAAGGCATCTACCAAAAATATGATATTTTGCAGCATTACTTTTGTGCAGTGATCTTATTAGACTCCTTGACATTACTAGTGATGGTCACATGTGACAGTCTTAAATGCTTAATAGCTAACGAAAATTCAATGTTAGTAATATTCTGATGAGTTTTAATTCAGTATTATTTTATTCGAGGGTAACACTTTCGTAAGGATAAGGAAAGTTGGTGGAAATTTATACAATTGTCTACCTGTATTTTTTCATTGAACAAAGTGCAGGATTATCAAAATTTGCCAAACACTATCATTTTGTGTTCTGTTAATCATAATGGTCATTTAAGTTTCAGTACTATGGAGAATTACAAGTGGGAACGCCACCACAAACGCTTCGTGTACTCTTCGACACAGGATCAACCGACACCTGGCTTCCATCAAGAAAATGTTGGTTTCTAGATATCTCGTGTTGGTTCATTCGATTTTATGACAGTTCGAAATCATCAACGTATCAGTCAAATGGAACAAAGTTTGAGGTAAAATACATCGTTGGTAGTTACTCGGGATTTTGGAGTATGGATACAATGCAGGTATTGTGGTTTTACGGTTTGAAGTAACACTGGTTTCAGATAAACTCCTTAGTTATTCACAATCAGGCGTTTGCTGAAGTAACAAATGTATTCTCTGATGACTTCTTTGCTAATGAATTCGATGGAATAATTGGTATGTCAAGGAGAAATGTGTCAAGATATGGGAACACTCCATTCTTCCCCAACATACTTTCTCAATTCAAGGATATGGATCCAGTTTTTCATTCTATTTGAGTCGGTAGGTTCTCAATCTACAGCATGATATCAGTGAAGTTACAATGAGCTATGGATGCATCGGGGAAGATTTACTGATATTCACGAATGTTCGTTTCCATATTGTGTGATATTTTGTTATTTGGAATACTGAGAAGTGAATACGTTCAAGTAGCTTTAGACCAAAGCGAAGCACAATCTTTTGTTATGAAATTTTTCGTACAATTTCGTGAAATATTGTTTCAAACTGAATAAGTTATTTTGGGAGCGAAACAACCAGGAACTGATTGTGAAAGAAATAGGCAGAAAGAAATGGAAATGGATTGGCCATACTCTTAGGAAACCACCAAGTGACATCAATAGACAAGCCCTTGAGTGGAACCCGAAAGGGAAGCGGCGAGTTGGTCGTCCAAGGGTGACCTCCAAAGCCTCAGGAAGGTCGGGGGTGGGTGCCTTGCGCTGCGGGTTGGCCACCCCTCCGCACACCTCTTGAAATGCTCCCATATGACCGGGCGTCTTACACAGCCTCTCCTGAGGAAGTTCTACTCACTGCCTTCACGTGGCGGAGGTGTTTTTCACCAAAGTGAGAGGGCGAAAGCGGAAGCCCAGCGCTCTTCACCGGGTTGACTGTCCATTGGATGACAGTCTAGGGGAGATGGCTAAAACGTGATTCCAAACCTCCAACAACTGGCGTATGAAGCTCACTGGAGCTCACCGGCAGACGTATGGACAAAGGGCTTGTTATATGTCCTGGATGTCTGGCCCCATTCAAAAAGGCGTATGAACCGAACTCCGGTCACCGGCTGCCAATGGATAGTGGACTCCCTACACCACTCCTACTGCCTTGTAGGTCACACTTGGCTGTGTAAATGCTAGAGCTGCACTCTCAAACAAAAGGCCGAGCGATTCTGGGGACATCACTCGTACCGAATTCCCATGAAACTTCATGAACTCTCTCACAAACGACTATCGCTGCGCCTGGGCAGCGATGATTCGAGATGTTCATGAAGCCGACTCATCCTCCCGTAGGAGATAGCCAAAGTAAAGAAGAAAGAAGAAGACTTGGAGGAGGTCATGTGAATAGGAGATGAAAACGTGTGGGCAGACATGGAGCCAGGTGAAGACTCTAGCAATGGAGACGCACGGCTGAAGCCCTGTGTTCCTGTAGGAATTAAAGGATACAACAACAAAACAACAATAGGGGATATCTGGTGATGAAGAGAGTACGAAGCAACAACCATAAAAAGGCTGTCACACGAACATTGTTCGAAACATACGAAATGAAAGGCATTTGGCACAATCTACTCCTCATATTCATGAGTTCCAGTGAGTAAGTTGATCACATGCAAGATATTCAAGTGATGATTAATTTTAAGTGATACAAGCATCCAAGGTACTTACTAAATGATATCGTTGTTTAAAATCATATTGCTCGACACTACTTTTGAGTAACAAGTGAACGAATACAAACCTTCCCCTCCATGATGTCTAATGGCACTACAAGATTTGAAACAATAACCAGTCGTAACACTGTCAAAATTTATCATATCCGAATGTAGAAACAGTAAGCACAAAGACGTGCAGAATCAGAGATTTATGAGTGTTAAAATATGTTGGAGCTAATAGTTAATTCATTCCCTAGTTCCTCCACAGTTTGTGTAAGTGTTTCTTACTATCATTCTGAAATACGCTTTCGAACATCTTTTCACCTAGTGATAAAGATGGCACTTCATCAATGTATACTCGACGACTATTCAGTATGAGCACTATCTCCCAGCCCCAAGAATGTATAAAAGGAAATGTGGCATGATATTTCGAAACTGCTGCTAGATTACTTTATGAGTAATGCTCCCATGCATTGGAATTTCACGGAAATGTCTACGACACGTTTACTATGATTACCATTCACTTTCCCACTGATGAAATATGAATTTGAACTCATCTCTAGCCTTGTAATCAGCACACAATTATTATTTCTTGTATTTTGTAGGAAGAATGGTCTTGTTGGTGGAGAGATGGTGATGGGTGATGTTGATCCTGAATATTTTACTGGAGATTTCGAAAACTTGCCTGTCCTCTCTGCGAATCGTTGGATTGTTAACATCAAAAGGTAATTAGTGCATACTTGAATGAAGATATTTACAAAGAATTCATCATCTTTCATATGCATATGAAGATCGCAGGAAACAATTGCATGCTTATCACATTCGTATCATCTTAGCGAAGTACTCTATCATAATGGTGATTCTTATGTGTCGTAGTAAAAAAGTCATATATTCTCGCATTCATTCACTGAACGAAATAAGATTTGAAAGTTCCAAATGATTGAAAATAAATCGCTTACATTGATATCGCCATAGTATATTCGGAACAAGATTAACTTGGGCAAGCATTTCTTTGCAGTCAATTCTCATCCAAACTTTGTGGCGACAAATATATGAATTGTAGAATTTATCAGCCAGTAAATGAAAATCAGAACTGTGAGAAAATGTTTCAGAGTATAAGTACATAAGGGCGCAATTCGTGGGCGCCATATCTACTGATAAATTAAGTCGCAGGTTGATTAGAACTAATAAAAGAAATTTCAGTACCTCGGAATAACACACTTATTTCTGAACCGGACCTATACTGTTGTCATCCCTGGAACTCACATTCAGCAAACCCATTTTACTTATAGTTCTGTAGTATTGATATGTTTTCAGAGCAAAACAATTAGAGGGGTCAATTGCTTTTGATAGATTCTCCTTCAGACTCCACAACTATTTATACATTAATCTTTCGCTCAGAAAAGTCAATAAAGCCAAGCTAGATTCATATCAGAAATTATATTGTGGTACTGGTACCCAATTGAATAATAGTCAGTTGGTTTTGACTGTTGCTTAAATCCATATGAAATGTGTAGTCAGTAAGCACGTGGGACTAAATCAGATTAAATAATTCATTGGTGTGTGTTTGTGCATGTAAACTCGACAAAAAGTACAGATTTATTGGGCGAGTGTAGTTAGTGACGTTAGAGACAGCATAATTACTGCTTATTAGGAAGAGTAGTTTTGTGACCAATACACCATTTGTTGTATAGACTAGTTAATGTTCCAACTACGTTTTACCCTGTTTAGCTTGAAGGTGAATGGAGTGGAGTATTGCGATGCAGCATGCTCTGGTATTATAGATACTGGGACATCCTTGATAGTCGGATCTAATGCAGTGGTGGGTGAAATTATTTCCCAGCTCGGTGCCGTATCTGCAACGGATGGGGAGTATAAAGTCGACTGCGGTAATCTCAATAACCTTCCTACTATTGAGTTTATCTTCAAGGAGAGAAGATATGTATATCAAGCAAAAGATTACGTGGTTAAAGTAAGTATAGATTTTCAGTTGAATTTTCTGATATTCTGTGATGAGCAAACGTTTATTCATTCTTCGTTGTGAATATTTCAACCATCATTTTATTTTAAGTCGTCAGTGAATAAAGTATGCCTGAATTGATTGCCAGGTATCGCTGAGTCAGTCAAAGTAACGCGTAAATCATACTTGTTGTTATGAAATGAATTTCAACACATTTTGAACTCCATGTGAACAGATAGACAGTGTCACCGTTATTCATTTATAAGAGTAAGTTTTACTTTGTGAGGAATATGTTCTTCAGCTAAGCATTTTCACGGAACTATTTCAATCCAGTCGTGTCACAAAGTCGGCATTAGCTTGACTAAGTCCTTCGCCCCCGATTCCGAGCACCTATCATAAATATATGCCTAATAATACACTGTTCTACCTATAACAAAAACAGGGATTATCTTTGTTGCCCACTAGATTCAGCAACTTCCGGATCTTCTGTTGCATTTGGATTCTCGAAGAGGAACGTACAGCTGATCAGCTAAGTGACTCACAGTGACTCAGATGTCAATAGGACAAATTTCAAGAATCCAGGCAGATTGATCGGGTACGATGACATTAAAATTGCGATAGTGGGTGAGATAAAATGACGAAGTAGTTGAATTAGAATTCTGATGCAATTATTATCTATAGTCATTTCTAGACACTGAATTAAAGAAATCTGAAGAAGGTCTTTCCACTTTCACATTTCAGGATTCCAACTGGCTATCAACAGACTGTCTATCACCTTTCAGAGGCAGTGGTAAATTTTCCAAGGGATTCTGGATTCTTGGCGATGTATTCATGAGAAAATTCTACACTGTATTCGATTTCGGTGAGAGGGAGATAAGATTGGCTGATGTTGATGATGGATAGAGCTTTTGGTACCGAAACCAGTAAATCACTGAACATAAACATGTTTTACGAAATAGATTAAGAAGTTCTTGTTTAGCACATATCATTTATTCCTTGAAGATCTTTCGAAAAATGGAAAATTGGTGAGGGTGTATACGTCCGCTTAGAATAGTATCACCTGTGGCATTTTAATAAATACATCGGCAAACGCTTTCAATATATTGAATTTCAGTCTACAAAATTATTTGAGGAACCTACCTTTTTTAAATAAGCAACTAAAATGAGCATTTTAATGATCACATACCAACTAAACTAGAAATAAACTTTGGTGAGAACATGGCAAGTTAAGTTTCACGAATTTTGCGATTTTCGAGGTGAACAATAGCATACGAAGGACATAACTGTTCGTTATTTGGATCTCATGTTGAAGTTTTCCATCTCAGAAAGTTGACATTTCTGTCTTGCTGATGGATATCTCATTAACTGTATTGTCTACCGGTTAGTTAATGCTTCTGCATATTTCATTTGTTTCGTAATTCATCCATTCACATTGATCCACC